CCTAATGTAATTTATATGAAGGAAAAGAAAGGCAATGAAGCAGCAGAGAGCTCTCAAACCAATTGGCAGCAAGCCATCTGCTAAGCAACCACAACTACGTCAAAGGTATCTAAAAATATATCAGTTGGTTTGGGAACATAATGCTCTAACTCCAATAAAAAGACACTTTGAATACTATCAAAAACATGTTTCAGAGTATTTGGATTTATTCATATAGCAGTGAGATAGAAATGTTCTCATTGACGTTGTTACTGAATGCTGAAAAGTGGTAGTTCAAAATAATTATTTAATTGTTAATGCCACTTCTGTCAGGAGCAGAAACTTCATTTCTTCAAGTCCCATTCTCTCTTTCCCTGGTTCCCCCCCAGTCTGACAGCTGTACAGAATTCTGTTTTCCTTTTTCCTCCTTATGAGTTTTCCCCTCATGCCCTGGTACCTTGTGCAGCCTTATTTCCATCCTACTCACTTCATTCCCTAGCCCTCACTGTGCTCTGTAGAGGAGAAGGTGCCAGTGCCGTGGCTCCATGCAGCAGGCAAGGGCTGACTGGTGGTGAGGCTACCAACAACTCTGTTGCAGTATTTTCTTTTACAGATTTCTGAGTTTCATGTCAAACAGGGAAAAGTCATGAATTGTTACATGTTTAAAAACCATCAGATATTGTGACTTGAAACAATATCTATTGGTGAGTCTGTCACACCCTGAAAACATCTGATTACGTTTACATTAGAATGCTTCAGTTTTGTCCATTACTGTAACATATATATTATTTTTTCTGTTAATACGCTCTGGACATTTCTTGCCCAGTCATCCTCTAATCCTATCAAGTGACTGAAGAAAACTGAATTGTGCTATAAGGTCTTGGCTTCAATAAGCTAGGTGCTTACCTGATGATTTTCTTTATAAGTATCATTAAAGGCATTTGAAATTGCCCGTGAAGCAGTTTTTACGATCTTAACTCAACCTTGCTATAGTATTGGTAAAACATAGAAGAGCTGGGTCACTGTTAAACAGGCTGCCTCTGTGCACTGGTGCCAGGCTGTAACTCCCCAGTGGGATTCAGGCAGTGTGGACTTTCTGCATCTCTCTTCCACACTTCCTTCTGTCTTGAAAGATGTTTTAGAAAACTTGTCCAACAGCACTTCAGTATACTTTTAGGTGAAACTAATACATGACTTACAGATAGATACAAACTATCTGTAAATCACTGTAGCATCCTTAATTTCATTCATATTTTCATGTATGGCCAGAATGGGCTTCCTGGTATGATGTTGAATCCATCTTCTGTATGCCACACGTTTAAATAAAGCATTTAAATAAAGCTTATTGAAGGACATCCCTAGAGCAGATGTAAAAGGTGTTTACTTAGCAGCAGCCATTTTGGTTACATCTGTCCAGTTAGACTGTAGGAAGCATTCCCCTGTCTGTAGCAGTCTGCCTGCAGAAATGAATGCAAGCATACATATTTTGAAACAAGTATTTTTAGAAACTTGTGTTGAGGGCTGTACTGCTACTTGGACTTTCTGCCCTTTCAGATTTTGCTACTGCAAAATGTTTATACATTTTTAATAATCACATTGGCTGCTAGCAGTGACATTTTGTGAAGGTCATTTTTCTTGTGAAGTTAGAGAATGGACTTGAATTTCATTGAAGGACTCCCGGAGCTGCAGGGTCATTGTTTGTGGAACTCTTTTGCATCTTGTACTACCTTTGAAGCCTATTTAGAATTTTAACTAATGATATCTTCAAAGTGTCACTGTGCTCAAGGGCAGAAAAGAAATCTCAAAATGCACTTTATATTTAAAACTAGTTTCGAATATCTTTGAAGCATGGCATTAACTGAAAATAAAAGGCATAGTATATACTTACTGTGTATGCACACACAGAGACTTCCATGTTTCACCAAGTTTTTCATTGTCAGCAAAATGTCCCTGCTGCACTGCAGAGCATGGTTCTTCAGAATTTTTAATGTGTAATTGCTAATTTAATACCTCAGCGGGTACCTTTTGGCATTCTTCCTCAATGCAGATATTTTAATTTTGCCCATATCATTGAGTGGATTTGCTGGAAATCATAGACTGTCCTATTAGCTACTGAATTTGAAACTGTTTGATTTTGTATAAACCAAAGTTCCTGTTTCCCACAGTAGCACATACCAAGTTTGCTTTTTGGTAAAATACCTGATGATTTACTTGGTAGTTGTGTCTGATGCCTTCTGATACTGACACATTTCTCTAAAACACATTAAATGTTAGTGGTAATATTTGAGAAGGGCCAGTGGAATACTTGCACTGGTTTTTTGTTTTCGTTTTTCTGATACATGTGTTTCTTCCTGTCAAGTGTTCTTGCTGTGTGACTACTGGCATGGGTGTCCGACCTTTTGGCTTTCCTGGGCCACACTGGATGAAGAGGAATTATTTGGGTTGCACAGATATCGGTTGCTCTGAAAGTAATGCCTCCTATTTATTTTCATGGAAACTACAGCAGATACAAAGAGCACAACAACACTGTTTAATAAAGCTCATTCTCAGCTTACATAATGCTATTTTTCAATGGGGTCATTACCCTTAGCTATGCATTTGTGAACAAGGGCCTGCATGTTCTGCTTCTCAAAATCTGCAACAACAGAAGTGACCCACTGTTAGGGTCATCACTGCTGAAATGCACCACCCAGCGCTGCACTGTGCTCACATCCACTGTTTGGTCTCCATAAACATTCAGCAAGCATCAATGAATGCCAGTGAGTGCAATTTTTTTCCCCGTGGAGGAATTAAGGGCCACATCTTTGCTTCATAGCACTTTCATGTCAGATGCCATGTTGTCAGATTGCCCATCTGCTGCCATCTGTAACACAGCAACAGAATGTAATGGAATATTGGTGGGAAGTTTCAATCTCTACTGCCATACTACCAACATCCACCTCTGACATTGTAGGCTGACATCATAAAATAGAAGGCATTATTTTCATGGTTTCCTTCATAAATACAATATAGTTCCTCTGTATAAGTAACAATTTTTTTATACTCTTTAGTATTTTTTTATTCAAATCAAAGAAGAAAAGCATAAATCTAGTAGGATATTTGACTGTGATCTTGTAAAACAAATGCATCAAATTTGCAACAAATGCAACAAATGTTCTATGGAAGTGGCTGCAATTCTTACTGAGTTCTCAAGATCTCATCAGAGATTTTTATGAAATTTTCTCCTCCTGTCCTTCATCCTTGAGAACACTTGTTCACTAATGTACATAAAGTCAAAAGTGATTACATGAATAAGGTGTGACTGTGAAGGGAGGGATTTTTTTCTCTGATAATATAGGGCTCATAATAAACACAATCACATTTTTTCTTTGAGTTGCATATATGATCTCAACTCAATATGTTCCATTTGAAAATTTGCACGTAACTTATTTATGGCAATTGAAAACAGAATTACAAATACGCAAAACAAAAAAAACTTTTTTTTTTTCAGCGCTCTTAGAGCCTATTAAATTTCTTTATCAAAATATTAAACACAGCTGCATTTTTTTTTTTTTGCTTTTCACAGGACTGTGGTTAACCAGTGTATCAAAATGCATAGATTTATTTCGCATAACTTGAATTAGCGCTTCACTGTGCCCTCCTTGTGCCCTGATTTTAGCTCAGACGAGTTAATAGCACAATGATGGCTTGACTGTTGTGAGCAATGGGTATGCACCCAGTACTGGGCAGTGCAGGGCAGGGTGACCAAAACTGAACCATGGCTTGGACATGCCTGGATTACTGGATCCTTCTCATAGGAATGCTATTGAAAAAACTTTTAAGCTGTGTTTTCCTTCTTTATGGCATTGTTTTGTATACTGGGAGCTTATAAAAGTATTAAGAACTAAGTTGTAATGTAATCTTTCCCACAAAATCATTTGTCTGGATTTCTTCCATTATATTCTTTAGTGTATCAAACCGTTGAGAATATTTAGCTTATTCAGTGTATCCTCACATTTGAGACATTGCTTTTCGGTCTTGGTAGCTGTGCCATTAAAGCACAGTACTTTGACTGGATGTTTTACAGTGGATTTCATAGTTTTAAGAATATTGCAAATGTTTTAGTTGTGACAAGCAATGTAGAATCTTGAATCATAACGGGAATCAAGGTGTTCCAATGAAAAGCAACCACTGTGAGAGAAATGGAAGGAGGGTAGGATTGTAACCTTCCTTTGAGGTGTTTTGCCCAAAACCAAGTCGGAGGCTCGGAAACCAGAGCAAGTTGGACATTTAAGAAAGTTTGTGTTAGGAAAGGCAGAAGTTTGTGAATATTCCTGGAAAATCATTTCACAGCCGATACCCTGTATAACAAAAGGACTTAACACAGAAGTATTTTCAGACTCTGCGTCCAGGCTTCTCAGTGCCCATAGCATAGAAACTGCTTGTGAATAAAAGCCACCAGCTTGTTTGGAATCGCTGTTTTGATGACATGATCAAATGGGAAGGCGTCAGCCTCTGGCCATTATCATTTTACCATTTTACTGTTTTCTTGCTTTCCTGCTACATGGGTTTCCCTTTGCAATTTTTTTGTTTTGTTTTCTGCAGACCTATTTGCCCTTCTTAAACCTTGGGAAATCTCACTTGGAAAATGTGACAGATTGGGGAGAAAGAACAAATCATTATATACAGTCTACTCTTTGCTTATTCACAAATATTCTTTCCTTTCTGCTAGAGGGAGTTGTTGTTTATGTGGTCTTCATTAGTATTTCCTCCATATATAGAGTCTTGACTTTTAAAATTTTCTGTAGGTATCTCTCAATAAATACAGCTAACAGTGCTTCTTCCCACCCCCTTGTCTTTCCCTATTTTACATAACCAAGAGAAAATCCTTCAACATATTCCGGTGCTGAGAGTTTATCAAGGACATCTTTTGGCTCTGAAGCAAACAAAAAAAGATTTTCCTACCCAAATTTAAGTTTATTTAACATTTTTCTAGTCCTTGTTATTTTTCACTCACTTTGCTATTTAATCTTTGGTTGCAGGCCACTAAAGAAGTAATAGAGCGAGAAGCCCCGGGGATGGCCCTTGCAATGCTGATGGGATCACTTAATGTAACTCCTCTGGGCATGCTCTCTAGGTAAGACTATTTCCTTCAGAATATGAAGCAAACTATTTCCTTAGAAATATACAAGATAGTCAGATGGGATGACTATATAAAAATAATTGAAGATTGCTGATGGTATCAGGACTAGAAGTCTTAACTGTAGAGAAGTGGTCAAATTCCAACAACGGTAATTGCATTCTTTTATTTAACTCCCTCTGTAGTCTCTCTTAAACACAGCATCTTTATGTATTTTCTGTGCTAAGCTATTTGTAATGTTGATGCATGCTGTCTTTTCACCCTAGAGCTGTGACATTTCAGTGGGAGTGAAGAATTCTTCTGTATGTTGTTCATCAAGTACTAAAATGCAAAAAAGAAAACAAACAAACAAAAGAACTTGATAAATATAAATGTGTTATTTTTCCTTTTATTCTAGTATCAGCAGAAGTTCTCTGGATACGCTTTCAGATTCAATACATTAAATTCTAGATTTTAGTGTTACATGTTGAATAGTTAGCAACAGATATTCCCCGTGTTCCTGCTTATCAGTGACACCTCTTGTTACCCCGTATTTCATTCAGGAGTTGAATTATGGATCATTTCCTATGATAGATTTATTAATATCAACATGTGTTTTGTGATTTAGTTTGTGCTTGTATGTCATTTCAAGGTAAGGGGCTGTTAGAGTTTTTTTTTCTTCTCATTGCATAATAAGATCATAACAATAATTACATCAGTAGTGTATTAAGGAGACACTTTCAAATCTCTCTAAACCTCCCTATTCAGATGATTTGATTTTTAAAGGACATTTAGATGAGAATTTTACAAATTCAGCAAAGTATTTGAAAACTTTACATATCATTTTGTGTATCTCAAATGATAGCATTACCAAGGTAATATTTTCAGATTCCATCAAAACTAGCAAGCATTTTCATTTTGTCATCTGACATAATTTTTATGTCATATTTTATGTATTTTGAAATTAAAGTATAGCAAAGCTATATCAAAGAGAGGAACAGTTAATTTAGCTGTTCTTTTTCTGATGACGAAAAAGATACGCAATTAGATGACACTGAATAACCAAGCTTGATTTAGGATGTGATGTGATCAGGATGGCTGAAAGGATGTTTTAATGGTAGTGGAACCAAAACGCTGGACTGCAGTCTGTCTTCTGTACATACAGCAAGAACATGTTCCTTAACCTCAAGCTCAAAATAGTCATTGAAGACAATGGTGGAACATAACTCCTCTGTGAATCTATAATGAAAATGTTATGTCAAGATACCTCATGCAATCATGTTAAAACTGTAAAAAATTTCCAATGAAAACCTTTACTTCAGGTCTAAATGTAATTGGCCTACAAAGGGTCAGTATCTTCATAGCGCTATTCAGATCATAATATTAAGTTAAGCATATGTGCTGTGAAGGAGTTTAGTGAATTCTTCTATCCCAAGCTTGAATGTCGTTGACTTAATTTTAAAATGGAGCTCTTACAGTTACTTATGCATGTAATTTACCAAAAAAAGAAAAAATGCAGAACTTCATTTTGCAAAATTAAGGTGACACGACACTTTTGTAAATCACATGCTGTTTTGAAAATGTTGGATCACTTGAACACTTGTTGGAATTTTATCACTTGAACTTTTAGAAGTGAAGTTATTGGCTCTCTTCCTGACCATGGGACCAGCATTAGAAAGTGGTGGATTATTTTGTAAACTACGTTCACAGATACTTATGACAGATGAAAAGCCTCTGAGATGCACATAACGGGGATCCAACTCTGAGGTCCAGCAGGGAGTGTGTTGGATCACAGACCTTTCAGTGTTCCCTGTTTCTCTGTAACCTTCCATCTGTTCTTGTCCCAGAAGTAACTTATTCCTTACCCAAGCCATTCCAGTCCTTACTGAGGCTTTATAAAGTACTCCCTGCCTTTTTTGCACATTTATTCTGCTTTTACAATCGTAATTTATTCCCAGAAAGGTGTTCCTATCTTCCACTTCTGCATTGGATCTATATTGTCTTCCAACATCTGTTTTTTCTGTCTCTTTTATTCTGTTTTTCCTTCAACTCCCTTGATTGAATTCCTTTTTTCTCCTCAACTTCTCTGTATTTTTTTTTAAATTTCTATGCGATGCATCAAAAGGCTGTGGATAATGTAAAATGTATGGCATCTACCTGTTCCCCATTTTGAGGCAGATCATTAACTTCTCTCTCAAATTACCTTGAATGCATGTACATGTGTGCTTTTGTTGTGAACATGCACTATTTTTTGCAAACCATTCAGTTCTTAAATATTTAAGCCTACTTTTAGAATCATAGAATGTAACATTTTACATGCTCTCATGAGAAATTTTTGGCAACCCCATTTCTGTCTTGAGCCATTACATATCTTTGTAATTCTTCGCTGGAAATTTCCTGGAGTTTCCCTTAATTTTAATGTCTTAAACTACAGCTTGATTACCAAAACAATAGTAAATGAGCATTTTTCTTTAACTCAAGCTCTTCACTTCATATGTCATTGAATGTTAGTCAGCTACCTGGAGTTTTTAGGGCATGTAATGTTTAAAAAGTGAGTGGAGGAAGATGGGGACTTGGAGTCAGGCAGAAAATAAGACTTCTCTTTTGGTCGGTTTGACTAGAATATCAGAGGTTAATCTTGTGGCACAATAACTGTCTCTGTAGTATTTAACTGTGAGTGTTAGGACAGCTGTCACTAGAATACTTGTTACTTTGCTTGAAAATGCCATGCTACCACTAAATGAAAGTAACTACTGGGAATTATTTATCTAAGAGAAAATCCAAGGAAGTCAGCTGCTTAAGAATTTGGTAATATCCTGTCAATGTACATATTTTTTCCTGTCTTCACTTTGGTTCATGTTCTTTGAAAAAGAGACTGTTACACAGTTTCTCTCCATGCAGCTTCCATATTGTGGTTTGGTTTTTGCTCTTAACTTTTTTCTTAGCTTTATATCTTAGCTCTGTTTTTTTTTATCAGTGTTTTGATAAACAAAGAAAAAAATCAGGAGCCACATGACTTTTCCTCCAGACAAAATCTAGAAGTGTTGATTTTTCTTGTGTGTGTTTTTTTGTTTGTTTGTTTGAAAAAAAAAAAAGCTAAAGGGAAGAACAGTTACACTCTGACAGAAAGCTTAAGAGGACCCCCTTCAACACATGGGTGTATAAGTTCAGCACTGCATTAAAACCAAAGAAAATCCCTGAAAACATAAAATAAAATGTTACATCTTCAGTAGTTGTTTTCTTCTTTTTGAAGGAGTAAGAGACTCTGAGGAAGAATTAGATGTGAACTACTTAAGTGTAATTTTCACTTGAGAATTACTTCCTACTATGCTTTTCTTATGCTGAATCTTAATAAATAAATAAATAAAGGAAAGAATATATGTTTGAATTAACACAACCAGCATGACTTGTTTTTTTAACCCATCAAGAGAAATAATGTTTGATAACCATCAATTACATTACAAGGGAACTATTTGCTTGAGCAAATAGGAACTATATCTAAGAATGTATTTGACAGAAGTAAACAACAGAATTAAGAGTGCTACACAAAGCTAGAAAAAGATAGAAGTAGTGTTTACACTATCAATTAAATGTTAGAATTTTCCATCCCTTGTCAAACACTTTTTCACCATCTTCTAAGCTGTTTTGTGATAAAACCAGCAGCAAATATAGGTGGTAGAGATTGATTTGACAAATTCTACTAAATTATAGGATTTATCTTTAATGTTTTCTTCTTTCTACAGTGAAGAAATTTGCCTACAAAAATTTCACTGAGGATTTTCTTTCTTTTCAGACCTGTATGTGGAATCAGAGGGAAAACTCTCATAATTAATCTGCCAGGTAGCAAGAAAGGGTCACAGGTAAGAAGTATTCTTGCTGATCTACTACTGAAGGCTGATGATAAGTCCTGAATGTAGAAAGTATCTACTACAAGTTTTACAAAAGTTAATTGAAATGCATATTTCAATTGCAGCATCCCTGTCAGTCCTGTGATTAGACCAGAACAATACAGTTCTGAAGTAACTGAAAGTATACTGTGCAACAGATAGCAAGAGTGTGCTACCTGTAGCAGGCAGCATTAATGAAGATTCTAATGGTCTCTTACATTTCCTTCTTGTTATCTAGTCAGCCTGTGACTGATCCCTGTGTTTTCTACTGCTTACAGGAAAGCACTCTTTTTCACGCAGAAGTAAGAGGAGGGCCTAGTGTACTGTAGAACTTGCTAGAGTTAAGAATAATTCCAGCTTTGGTCAGCAAGAGGGGAAAATGGAGCATAATTTTTAAGAATATGAAAAATTTTAATATTTTGGATACGGATATCAGACTTGACACTCTTTACAGTTTGTTTTCTTCCTACATTTAACTCAATCTGGACAAGGAAGTTAGGATATATGTTTTTATCCATACTTATTTTCTGACTTTATATTAATTGATGTATATATGCCACATTCTGAGATTTCTTTCTCTGCTATCCAAACATTACTATTTACTAGTGCCAGTATTATATGCGTATTAAAAAACTGACTATGAGAAATCAGACATTAGAAAAACAAGCAGGTGACAATTCAAAGCAATCAGTATCGACTTCATGTTATATTTCTTCGTTTCTGAAGGACGGACTACTCAAATGTGCCTGATATACACATGTGCTTTAGCTTGAAAGGGGGAAAGATTTACTTTCTCAATGCATGCAAAGGACTTATCACCCCTTTTTTTTCCCATATTCTTGGTGTATGGGATTTTAAGATAAAGTTCATACCTTAAAAAACTGTAAGGTAAAGCTAAACATCTGATAAAATAGATAGCTTTGTCATATGAACACTAATTTCTTGAGTATATGACTGCTTTTGCTTTCTGATTACTAATCTCAGATTAAGTGGAGTTAACAGTTGATGTCAGGTATGCCGTCCTCACATGGCATTCTCTTGCAGTGGCTCTGCAACTTGCTGTTGTCTCATGTAGTTGCATGAAGAGTACCACCTCCTTCTCATCTAAATGATGGCTCCTTTTGCGAAGGTGCTTGATTTTCAGATCCTTGATTGCCAACACTGCAGCAAGCGTCTGTGTACTTTCCTGGCCACTTTTCTAGGATTACTCTGATGCAACTTTTCTGTATTACGAAATAAGAATATTTGCTGCCACTATTAACCATAAAACATTCCCCTATACCAGGAGGAATCAAGGTACTACTAAGTATATTTTAGCATGAAGGAAAAAAGAATGGCAAAAACAGAAAAAAAGGTGGGGGAAAAAAAAAAAAAAAAGTAGAATAAAAGGTGGAGAACAATTTTGCTTTTGAGGGGGAAAAGGCCTTAAATCACTAAGTTAAAATAAAAAATGATAGTTCTAGTCACTGCCATTCTCAACTGTTCAATAAAACTTATTCATGTCTTGATTTTCCTGCTGCCTGTTTAAACACTGCCATGTTGTAGTCCAAAAGGAACTATGATGTTTCATATTGAGCAAGATCTTGTGTCTGTGCAAAAATCTGCTCTTTATTCTTTTGACAGTTCAGAGGATCTTCATCAAGGTGCTGGCAGTCATTGTGTTATCCATTTGGAGGGAGAGTAAGGGTGAATGAGTTAATAGTGTATGTCGAGATATTGAATTAGGTACTTTGTGATATAAGTCAGGGAAGGTAGGGGGGTGATAGACCTGCTGTCAAGATACGGCAATGGTGCACAGCAAGAGATCAGAGGCTATGGTGGAGTATAAACCATAGCTGACATAGTAGTGCCTGGATAACTCAATGCAAAAAAATGCCACAATTCCTTCCACATCCGTAGCCATTCTCCAGCTTTTCAAAAGCCTGTCATCATTATAACAAAAAAGTCGCAGTGTTCACTTGAATTGCAGCTGTCTCTGTAGTAGTGATCTTTCTTCTCTGAGAGAATTCTGATAATGTAAAACCTGATTCACTGCCTAATTATCACCCATTCCCACAACAGTGAAGTCTGGCATAATACTCTTAGAATAAATGTCAGCATGCATGTTTATGATGCTTGTTGCCAAACTACTTCCTCAAGTTTAGAAGCCTAGCTTCAGACTTGCTTTTACTGAAGGATATAATTCTCAGCCTTGAGATCGCTTTTATTAACTTAGTGATCAAACAATCTTTGATTTACTTGTTCAACTTCTTCCAGATCGGTCCGCTCACATTAGGGCAGTGTATTCACTTAGGTATTCTGACAAGCTTGAGGTAACTGAACCCCCAGGGAATAAAAATTTCGTGTCACTGTTCTGGAATACAGATTGATATGAAATAGGCTTTTCATTTGTATCTTGTCTTGCAAATCACAAAGTGCAGTACCAATTCTTTATTCTATTCAACAAGTGAAATGTGACACCTCTTGTCATGTATAGGGGAACTTGTCATATACAGGGGGACAGTAGTTTTGTAAACTGAGCGTGAGTTGATGTGTATATGATGTACTTACAAGATATTTTGGAAACTGTTTTTTTCCACTGAGATTAGTCAGGAAATACTTTCTTCAGGAATAAATATTCCGGACCTTTATAGTTTTGAATAACAATTCTACTGTTATTTAGGGAGGAATAATTGCATGCACCAGTAGAGGTTGGGGGATGAGCTGCTGGAGGGGAGCTCTGCGGAGAGGGACCTGGGTGTCCTGGTGGACGACAGGTTGGCCATGAGCCAGCAGTGTGCCCTTGTGGCCAAGAGGGCCAACGGCTTCCTGGGATGCATTAAAAAGAGTGTGGCCAGCAGGTCGAGGGAGGTGATCCTCTCCCTCTACTCTGCCCTGGTGAGGCCTCATCTGGAGTACTGCGTCCAGTTCTGGGCTCCCCAGTACAAAAAAGACAGGGATCTCTTGGAAAGAGTCCAGCGGAGGGCCACCAAGATGGTGAAGGGCCTGGAGCATCTCTCCTATGAAGAAAGGCTGAGTGAACCGGGTCTGTTCAGCCTTGAGAAAAGAAGGGACCTGATCCAGGTCTATAAATATCTAAGGGTGAAGGGCAGAGTGACAAGGCCAGACTGTTTTCAGCAGGGAGTGGAGGCAGGACAAGGGGAAACGGCTGGAAACTGCAGCATAGGAAGTTCTGCACAAACGTGCACAAAAACTTCTTTACAGTGAGGTGACAGAGCGCTGGAACAGGCTGCCCAGGGAAGTGGTGGAGTCGTCTTCTCTGGAGATGTTCAAGACCCACCTGGACACCTACTTGTGTGACCTGCTGTAGGGAACCTGCTTTGGCAGGGGGGTCGGACTCGATGATCTCTGGAGGCCTTTCCAACCCCCATGATTCTGTGATTCTGTGTGATTCTGTGATTAGAAGTTAAATAAAAGTCTCCGTGTTTTCCTGCCTGGAGGCACTTAGACTGTGAACTTAGGTAAGGAGCATGAGGAAAAGAAATGAAATATGTTAGTAAGTATTTTAGCAATACTTTGAAATGTAAGTGATTAATAAAAAGGTAATTCTGCCAGAAAATTAAAAAAAAAAAACAAACTTGATTTTCAGATATAAGATTGCTATAAGCTTTATTTAATCCTGTTATATTGATCATCTGTTCTGTCACTGTTTATTTATTTAAACATAAAACATCTTCAAAACATGAGATTTCAGCAGAGACTTTTAAGATTCATAGTGCAGAAAATGCTTCCTTAACAGTTGAGTTGTCAGGAACCAAATAGGGCAGATTGTTACCAGGCATTGCTCTCATTTTTCTCCTTTATGACTTGCAAATATTCTTTCCATTTTATTAATACAATCAGGTAGGAAGCTTATATAAAAGCTATGAAATTGCACCAGTACGCTTATTTCATTAATAAAATACTAAATTTTAATACAGCGTGACAGCAGTGTAAATGTCCATGTCAAAAATGGACACAAGGAGAAATTGAAGGAAATGAAGGCAAGAGCAGTTTGAACTGAGTGTGTAAAACTCCCTCTTGCTGTATTTTCTCCTTTTTTATGAGTGCAGATTTCACTTTGGAAAGGAGAGCTGTGTATTCTTAGGTCAAAACTAATATTGCAATAGAAGTAGATGAAAGAAGGCAACTATAGTAAACTCAGTTGAAGCCAATAACTGTTTACTTAAGGTTGATCAGAGCACCAGAATAAAAACTTGCCTTACCAAGGAGTCCAAGCCTCACTGTGAAAGGAGTCATCGGGGACTTTTTAACTCAGTCTGTTTGGTACTGGAGTCGATGTTGTTGGAACAGGACCTTAGAGTCAAAATTTTAAATTGCAGATTTGAGTTCTAATCTTGCAAATAAGTAAAATAAATCATTTTTGACTAGTGCACTATCTCATGGAGAAGGTATCCAAGATGTCTCCACTGGTGTCATCACAATGTAACCATTCCTACCTACACTTCTAGTAGCTAACTGAAATAAATACTTTGGTAGGCTCTTTATTTTCTGTAACACTAGTATAGCACAATGGAGAGGAAAAAACCTTGTAACCCAAAGCAGAAACCATGTTGGTGTTCGAAGTTCTCCATTTGTAGCTGTAGCCGTGGCATTGTCACTGCAGTCATCGGAGATGCTATCTTGGCATTTGTTTCACTTCAGAGCAGTTCTCTGTGCTCAGTTGCCTGCTAGAATCTCAAGCATTCTTTGGTCTGCTGCTGTGGTAGTGAGCAAGAAGAAAAATGCAGGTTGATGCCAAATATATTTTCCTCAGAGAACTTATGAGGAATGTATCACTGAACACTACTTCAATTTTTGTGTTGTTTTAGTCTGTTTCATTTCATTTCAGCCTTTAAAAAGCTATATAATACTGTCAGAGGAGGCATAGTAATGAAATTACCAGATAAACACTGAAATCTTTGGGTCTATGGCAATTTGCATAACTGTACTAACAATTGCCTAAACCAATGAGTGTTAGAAATAGCATAGTTGGGAACTAACTTGTCAGCAGTCAACAAGGATTTATTTCAGTATTAGGAATGGGCAGTATGCTTGCTAATGAGTTAATAATTAATGTACGCTTTCATTATTTGTAGTCAGATCTCCTTATTTACCAGTTGCTTGAGAATGGCTTCTTCACTGAAGAAAGGATGGTTGTATACCTCGATGTTTTAAACCACTTTTATAGTAATACTCTGGAGTTTCAATAACTCTGACCCTCATAGTTACATTAGAAATTGTATTTCTTTATTATATTTACAAATAGATTTTTAATATATATTCATTGAATGCAGCAATTCGTGCGCATCTGCTCAGTCGCGTTCTTCAGAGTAACAAATCAAATATTTATAGTATTTATGAATCTGAGAAGTAGTCTGACTTTTCATTACTCTTAAAGGTATGATTGAAAGATGGATTCTTATTTAGAGGCTTTGAGGAAATAGAGTTTGTGAGTCATGTTTTTTGACTTACATAAAGGCTCATATAAATTCTGCTATTCTCTGATGGATGGTTTCTTTACATAGTCATTTTTATGTATTGAAAATACTTGTTACTGTATCTGTGTACAAAATATTTATCATTATTTAGTTTCTGGGCACTTTAAATTCCAGTATTACATTTTGAGAAGTTTCCTCATGGTTGAAATGAAACAAAAGATGGAAAGAATGAAAGGCATAGTATGAGCTTCCTCTGTCAACTTGTACATTCTCTAACTGTACTGCCTTGGAAATTCATTGTTGTGACCTTGCCATCATTTTCCAGTAATTGAATATATGTATGCAGTGTGCGGATCTGACATGAAGAAAACCCTTTGTTCTGAGGTGCCTTAGAGAGAGACAGTAGTCATAAATTGAAGAAGGGGAACTTGCAACTGGATAAGAAAATAAAGAAAAAAATCACTATGAGGATAATTAGTCATTAGAACACAGGTTGTCCAGAAAGGTTGGGGAGCCTCTGTTCTTGGATTTTTTCAAGAATAGGCTGAACAAAGCCCAAAGTAACCTGTCTGAATTTTAGTATTTTCAGTATTTTAATAACTTCCTGAGGTTCCTTGCAACACTGGTTCTTTCATTTGATAAAATAGCTAAAGGTAGCTAGAGATATGTGTACACCTGTTGGCAGAACAAGAATGGTTACATGGCATCTGTGTTTTTTCTCTTCTCCGACTGCACAAAATAAACTTTTTGATTGTTTTAAGTCACAGAGCAAGGAGAGGTTTGAAAAATATATCACAGAAGGTAAATTTTTTGAGTTACTTAAAATTATAATCAGTACTGCCTGTGATTCTTCCAGCCCAAATTATAAATCCATGAATAAAAAGAACCCATAGCGTTATGTAAAAGTACAATTATGTCAACCATTATGAAACATTCTCAAACTGTGAAAGCGTGCAGTAGAAATTATTGGAAGCTAATAACCTTGCAGAGATAGAGTGTTTTTATTCTGCATTTCTGTAGTATACTGCCAACCGCCATGAAGGTGTTTCTGTATTATGTATTCATGAAAATTTTAACTTTTGTTTTCCTAAGTTTTAATCTAGCATTAGGTTAATTGCATTAACTCTTGACTATTGTACAGCTTACTATATCTGCATGAAAAGGAGAAAAAAAAAATATTCCTGAGTCCTCAGAAACTCTGGTGGTTTTTTTGGCTGATTGGTTGTTGCGGTTTTGGTTATTTCTTTTTTTATTTTTATTTTTATTTATTTATTTATTTTTTTCCTAAGAGCAATGGTAATTGGACATCAAGTAATTTTGATCATTTTATTTATGTAAAAAAGATACATAAAAATCCCTAATATCCCCTAAAAGCAAATCTGAAAAATCCTTCTTTGCTTCTGCAGGTAACTATTCATAGTCATTTCTCTTCTTGTGCATAGGAATGCTTTCAGTTTATACTGCCAGCCCTACCTCATGCCATTGATCTTTTGCGGGACGCCATTGTAAAAGTAAAGGAGGTACACGATGAGCTAGAAGATCTACCTTCACCACCACCTCCTCTTTCTCCTCCTCCAACCACCAGCCCTCACAAGCAGACAGAGGACAAAGGAGTACAGTGTGAGGAAGAGGAGGAAGAGAAGAAGGATAGTGGAGTTGCATCAACAGAGGACAGTTCCTCTTCACATATAACTGCAGCAGCCATTGCAGCTAAGGTGAGTCTGGATTGTTTCCAAAGAGACTCTTTAGCTTTACTCGGGTACCTTCCACCAATATTCATTTGCACATTAAACTAAATGTCTATGTTGGTGTGCTCAAACAGATATATTTTGGATGCATTTCATAGAAATTTAGCTGTGTAAGAACATATGAATGTTTCAGAAGATGATCACAGATTTCATTGGAAGATGCATTGTTTATTATTTTGACTATAAGTTGCATTTTAATGATACCATTCTGATGTGACAGAATATGTTTAGTGTTAGGTTTAAAAGAAAAAAACAATCAGAAATACTTACTCCTGAATGTGCAGTGTCCAGCGAGCGACATATTCAGGAGGCACAGGTTGCTCCTAAATCATATTTTCCATTTTGTAAAGACAGTATTGGTTTTTAAAAACATAAAAAGTATGACAGTTATATAGCAGGTTAAGTCATAAGCTATCCAAATTAAATGTCATCATGTTGTCTCTAGAGCCTCAGTGTAACTACTAATTATAGATTAATGTTACTTCAGCGTTACTCACACCAAAATTTTGAATTGGAGACTACAAAAGGAAAAAGGATAACACTCATTTATTCCAAATTGATTTGCTCTATTTTTACTCGCGGTACTTTTAATTCCGACTATGGGAACTGAAAATGTAAGTAACTCAAAATGCTAATAAGGGACTTCTAAAGCAAAGTGGCAACATTCTAACTCCAGAAGTGTGAATTCAGGTCTGATTCCTAAGACAGCTACAGCTGGAGGTCATCATTTTATAGAAAATCCTGTTTGTATATGTCTTTAAAGGGCTAAATTAAGGTAGTTATCAAATGCAACTCAGCTTTTATTCATGCAGTTTTTAAATTCATCATTTTCTTTTAATATAGACAAAGAAAAATAATTTATGCAATTTTAAAGACCGAAATTGTCTGACATCTAAACTGGCTGTGTTCATGTGAGCTTGACATTTCAGCATCACAGTTGTTTTCACCTCATTGCCTTTCAGTCATTTGCTTGTTTGGTCTCATATTTTCCTGTCACTGTATTCATAGCTGTTATGTGTTGTGCATTAGAAACATCCATCCTACACCAGTTCAGCAGTTATTATGGCAAAAGGTGAACAGCCCATTCCTGGTCTCATCAGTTATTGCCATCATGCAGCAGGCAGTGCAGAAGAACCGGTAAGATGCACTTCCCAGAGGCTTTTGCACTAACAGTAGTTAAAAATACACTGCCTGCCACCTATTCTAACAGTGTTACTTTTTTTTATTCTAACAAATACATATCAGTGCTATCTGTCTTTTAAAGAATATGCTACAGGGAGCATTCTGCTTAAGATGCAAACCTAACAGGATAAATATTATGTGCTTTTCTGTCAGTTGGAATCATTTGGCTGCTGAGATAAAAATTGTTGAAAAGTCTGCGTTTCTGACTAGTCATCAACTTAATCATCTAATAGACTAAATTATTAAATATAATTAAAAGAATCTCCTAAAATCACTGCCTTAGAGCCTTTTCACTATCATTTAACTTGCTTTGCTTCTTTCTCTCAAAAGCTTGCTTGTCAACATAGTACAAGATTGTCAATGTTTTCATTGCTTAGTTTCTATTTTATTATTGTGTTTTGTTTAGAAGTAGAATTTTTCAAAAGCAGTAAAAAACTGAAGTCAGGTACAGTAGATTCATAAATTATAAATTTCTGGTTTTTTGTGAATAGTAGGCAACTACTTCAATGAGTGGTAGGAATCAATACCAAAGGTTGAGTCTAAACTTGAGTCAAGATAGAGTAATGGCTCCTAGTATCATTAGGGATTAAATATAATTTACCATATTTATAATTACAAGTTAGGTGAGTCTGAGGAAAGCAGTTGCCCTAGCAGTTATGCCATTCTACCATCCACCCTATCTGCCTGCAAAATAAGTGTAAATTCTTAACATTAAATCATCAGTTCCGTTTATCAGAGTCTGCACTTTCTCAACCCTTAAGCAAATAGTAATTTAAATCACCAATCAAACTAATTTAAATCAATCAAGCAGTGCAATGCCTCTGTATATAAAACATGATGGCCATGTCTCTCGAAAAGTTATTTAGGAAATGTGAAGGCATTTAAACCAATGTAAAACTGCTTTTGGAAAAGATGGTATCAGATGAAAATTTAAAATTAATGAGAGACATAGTGAATATGTTTCTCTGTCCACCATTTCTCATTCATTTCTTTTTCCATCAGTATGTTACAAGTTTTACCACTCTAGCTATAAGTAGCAACCATTTTTACCCAACTTCAGTTTTATCATACCCCACTTAAAGAGTATCCCCATTCAGAGTTTTGAGACATCTATCCTTTATTAAATTTGTTTGAAAATGAATTGAAAATATTTAGATAAAGATGACATAAACACTCAGAGCATGACTCCATGAAAAAACTAATATTTCATTATTATTATTTCTGCCTTTCATTTTTGCAGAAAACACAAAAATCTCTTTGGCTGATCAATCTCTTTAACAGCATTAATAAAATGCTGCCTTTACTAGATATGCAGATTACCCAAATCTGTTTAAAAAACAAAACAAAACAAAACAAAAACAAAAACTTGCTAAATATCAGTAAAATTAAACATTCCCCATCTTATATAACATGTATGCATAAAAATATCAGTTACATTTTGATGTCCCATTAATGAGCAATGTATGTGCTTTATATTTTTTATGTATTTATGTTGATGCAATTTACACTTTTGTATTAGTAACTGCAGTCAGCAGGTAATGGTGGTTAAAGAGAATCTTTTTTAGCTAGACAACAAATTCTGCTGTCACAGTAGAGAAACAAATCTCCTGGGAGCAACATTTTTAACTGCAAGCTAACCTAAATCACTCATTAAGATTTTGTAATTTTGAAAGCTAGCAAGCTGGAACTTAACAGTTCTAGATGGGTTTATATATAGTTTTATGACAAATTTTATTTTCAGCAAAGATAGTGATTAGGAAATAATCCCCATTGAAAAGTAATTCCTGTAATTATCTTCAATCTGTCTTTAGCTTCCTTTGCTGATTAATGTCCTACCTGATATTTCAACTAAATTTTGATTTTTCCACAAGCAAAAAATTAGAATCATAGGATCATAGAATCACCAAGGTTGGAAAAGACCTAAAAGCTCATCCAGTCCAACTGTTCCAACCATTAGTACTGCACGTGCATTTCAATGGAGACTGGAAAAGTCTCACTTAACTTTTATTTTCTTTTTACTCTTAAAAAGGTGATGCCAGATAAAATTCTGGCAGCTGAAATTGATGGATAAAAAAGTAGATCACTTGGTTGAAGGAAATGAGACAATGAGAGATATCCAATTATTCTAGAGCAACCAGAGTTAACTCCAGGGAGAAATGGATCGTGATGTCATTTGTAATATGTTATATTGTGTCTGTATTGTGTTATCCTGAAGCATGTGAAGGATATAATAGGCCCATTGGCCCACACCCAACTCTGTCAAGATGCATGCATCCCTTTATCAGAGAAGAGAAAAAAAAAATTTCTTAAATGGTACTTTTTTTAAGATTTAAAACTATTCCTTCTTTTGTAAATTTTCTGTTCTATGCCTTTGTCACAGAATCACAGAATGGTCAGGGTTGGAAGGGACCTCAAGGATCATGAATCTCCAACCCCCCTGCCACAGGCAGGGCCACCAACCTCCCCATTTAATACTAGACCAGGCTGCCCAGGGCCCCATCCAATCTGGCCTTGAACACTTCTAGGGACAGAGCATCCACCACCTCTCTGGGCAGCCTGTTCCAGCACCTCACCACTCCCTCTGTCAAGAATTTCCCTGACATCCAACCTAAATTTCCCCTCCCTCAACATAAAACCATTTCCCCTTGTCCTGCAGTTATCAACCCTTTTGAAGAGTTGATTCCCCTCCTGTTTGTAGGTTCCCTTTAGGTATTGAAAGGCTGCAGTGAGGTCACCCCACAGCCTTCTTTTCTTCAGGCTGAACAAGCACAGCTCCCTCAGCCTGTCTTCACAGGAGAGATGCTTAAGTCCCCTGATCATCTTCGTGGATCTCCTCTGGACCCTCTCCAACAAAAATTGTCAAAATTTAGGGTTTTGATAAAACATTGAGATTAAAAGGAAGTATTAAAAGTGTTGGAGTTATGCCAGCATAAAACTAAGAGTTGCCAACCTTTTTTGCATATTTAACTTATTTCAAATAGAATTGCAGATGAAAGAGAACAGAAAGGAGATTGTGCTTCTGAATACAGTCTGTCTGATAAGAATAGCGTAGTGCCTTTTTTCTCCTGCTTATACTACATATCTAAGATCTTAGTTGCAATTTAGACTACTGCAAGTTGAGGTCAGTTTGATACTGTTTCTGTGCAGAAGCAATCCCAAGCATAACCTTCCATAGTGAAAAGAAACTGTTTTGTAATTTACAGTGAAAATTGCAGCACAAATTACTAAGTACTGAAAGAACTTCTGAAGAAATTTTTAAAATACCGACATTGAAATTGACTGGCAAAAATACTGTCAGTCTAGAAACACAGCAGCAGGCAGCTGGTAGTATACTGAGAAGAAAATCTGTTGCCATAAAACTTAAGTTGCGAACTCAAGAAAGTCTAACATACGGAGAAGAGTTTATGTTCAGAACAATCCATAAGATACAAGCCAATGCCTCTAAGTTAAGGTTGCTAAATTAGATGCAGTTGTTATTCATAGTTGTGAATAAAGGAAGCTAAGGAAACAAAAATGACATAAAAAAGGAATATTTAGTGAGTTGAGCCTTAAGATTGGCCATTTCAACAGGCCATTCAACAAGAATATAACATGAACATCTCCTACTTAACTACAGCCTGAAAAAGTATGAGGGTATGAGTAAATTTGTAGACAAATCATGTTTCATTAAATTTTAAATTATTGTAATATCAGTCCTATGTCTGAGAGAAGACAATTTGTTTGCCAGTAAGTGTTACCAAGGTCTGAGCAAGTTCCTGAGGCATATGTCAAAGATACTATAACTTCCCAATTGGAACAGCTTTGGTATGTCACTTAGTATGCAAAATCAGCAGACCATTAAGAACATCCCATGCTTTTCCTAGGAGTACATGTCTATTTCATTTTACTCCTCTTTCAGTATCATGCTTTGTCTCCACAAATCAGTATTGTGAGATGACTCTGGGACAAGGAATCCTGGGAGGAAATGTTTTCTAGAGCATTCTGTTTGCCTTAAAGCCATACTAGGCAAGAATGCTCAGAAATGCCTAGATGCAAGCTAGTTAAAGCATATCCATTTAAAAAAAGATTGCAGAGAATTCTAGCTGGATTTGGTTGAAGTAAGTGGTTTGGCTTGTCACATTTCTCATTTTCTTCTACTGTTCACTACTGCCATTTCCCCCAGTTGCATTTTAGGTGGTTCTTTTGGAACTTGAATGTCAGGCTAAAGTAATAAATTCTTAATGAGTACAGAGATCATAAAATATGTGTCTATATACATACTCCTTAAAAAATCTGAATTTGGAGTTATTCTTTTACATTTTCTTTTATGTTGTGATGGAAAATTAAATTGCTGGAATAATCTGATGTTAGAAGTGCTACCTCTGAAAAAGAAAAATGTTAAAATCTTGAAAATAAAATCAGAATAAAACTGAGAGTGTTTAATAGCAGAATATATGCTGCATTTTGTGTGTAGGACAGTTCTGCTATTTGAGATAGTTATCATCTGTATGTGTTATCATTTTATACAAAATAAATAAATAGAATCATGATGTCAGGCTGGCAATTCAATCTATTATAAAGTTGGTGTGATATCTTCATGGGTAGACCAAAATACTGCAGTAATAAAAAGCAAGAGACTTTCTAAGACCCAATGTGTGTTAAAGGTCGACTCTTAAATGCAGTCCTCTAGCTCTAGTCTTTGTGACGGATGTTAAAACAGAACAGAAAAAACAGAATATTGAAACAATACATTGATAGATTTATTCATATTACTGAAAGTATTCTCATTGTTCGAAGTTGTTGTAACTCCATTTACTTAAGTGGGTTAATAATACCAGCTAGAGGATCTGTTACTTAAAATCTTCCTCTTAGAAATATCAAGTTCTTAAGTATATTATGTGAAAACAAAGATTGAACTCTCTTCACAGTGCATTTTAAACACAAGCATGGACTCTATACGGAGTTTTCTATTGCTTTTGCCTATAGTCTCTTCACAGAGGCCTGCAGGTTATTCAAATACAGATTTTACATCAAGAATTTGTGTACCTGAAATAAATAATTTAGTATATGGAATGAAATGTATGAAGTGTCACTGTATGGCATTTTTTCTGACAAATTTATTTACTGCATGATATTTCTTCAGATGGTATCAGTCATTGCTAATGATTGGTTTTCTGTTTGGAACAGATAAAAATGAGATCCATCTGCGTCATGGTAGAAGTCACTGCTGGTCATTGTTGGACCTGAAAGGATTGGGTGCTGAGAAAAAACAATCTTGTTACTTACTGTTACATCTTAGTAGTGTATCGTATGCAAAGGCTTTCAAAGCAAATAATTTCTTCTGTGCTTCTACAGTTACGATATGATTTTGCTTATTTGTAGTGGGTTTGTTACTGAAGTTACAAGAACTTAAATGTTACTGCTGCTAGCAATGCATATGAGGAAATTTTATACTTTTTTCAATAAAGTATGTTATTGACTCTTAATTCCATCTCTCTTCTTTCAAGATTCCAGATTCCATCATTTCTCGTGGTGTTCAGGTGCTCCCACGTGATACAGCCTCACTCAGCACTACCCCTTCAGAATCTCCTCGTGCCCAGGCCACCTCTCGTCTCTCCACTGCATCCTGCCCAACACCAAAAGTAAGTACCTTGCAAGTTCCATGCTCAGACATATGATCTATCAGATTAATGTACTGCTTCTGCTAAGAGAGATTGGTTTGCATGCAAGGGATATATCATTCTCAGTAATAGATAAATCCAAGACAGTACTTTATTCCTTGTGCACTTCTGCACGATTTAATATGTGGGTCTACCAACGTGTTATGATTACTGAAGTTTCATGTTAGCTCCTGCGATATCAGTCATGATTATGAAATCATTAATGCCTTGAATGTGTTTCATATCCCCAAGAACATAGGTAATCCTGCCACTGAGTAGCAACTTTAAATAAGTAGTATTATGCTGACAAAAGGTGTGTACAAATTTCTAGCCTGAGCTGGGGCAGTTCTTTGCCCTGCTCTATTATTGATCAGTTTAAGAAAGTTGCAAACCAACTAATTTCGCTCAACCTTAGATATTTGCTGCCTGACACTTGGAAACAAAAAAGAGACTAAATTTAATAGTAAGAAAGTTTTAATGCCAACCTTGTGGGATTATTGTTCACTTCTACTGGTTATACTATGCCATTTAATTGTTAAAGTGAACTCTTTCTAAAAACCTTGAATTGCATACATCAAGGACACAGTGAATTGACCAGTGGCAAGGCCAGTAATGTCTACCTACAGTAGGATTATTTTCAGCAGAAGAAAGCTCTGCCAGAATTCGCTTATGTCTTCGTGTCACGGTGATCTTTTTGTGGTACCAGATGCAGACATACTAATAAACTCATAGCAGATGGTGAACAATAACATTCTTCCTTGTCTAATTTGTGATCCTTGAAGACTATTCTGCTTGCTAAAATGATATGCCAGCATCTGCTAATTCTTCTTCCTGCTGTCTCATTCTTTTCTGTTAGCGAACAAGATTTTTGGGCAACCACCCATAGAAATGTTTTGGTTTAGTCTGTCGGAGAGCTTTATGCAATACTCACCTTCTCTGTAACAGAGTCAAAATTATGTTGATAGACAGCATACTAAGCTTCACTTTATTCTGCTTTTCTTAAGAAGACATTCAGTGAATTATATCTGCATGCAGTTCCTTTTTTTTTTATAACTAAAAAAGCTGTCACTTGTCTGATGGCTAAAAATAGAAACTCAGAGCTTATTACATTAAAACTCTTGAGCAGAAGAGGAATACAAAACAGGAGCTGCACTGAGTTTCACACCTCTTGACAAAACAGAAATCCAAAGAAAACCTAAGAAGACCAATAACAAGCATAAAATAGTGTCAACATTGTTAATAGCTCTAGATTAAACCCCTGTGTTTTAAGGAAGGTATGGCTGTGGAAAAGTGTGTACCTTATCAGTGGTGAAGCAGAATGTATTGTTCTTGACCTGGCATGTCCAACCTATGGCCTGCATGTGGCCCAGGTCAGCTAATGATTAGTCCCACCATCCTGCTCTTCCCCATGGAGTGGCCTGGCCCAGCCCCAGGTATGCACCCATCACTGAGCAACAAGCAAAACATCAGCTCAAGACAATTCCTCTTCACTATGTGTGGCCGAGGCAAATCAAAAGGTTGAATATCTTCATGCTGTAGGCAGTCTTCAAAGATTCAGAGGCTTCAGAAGGAAACTACATCAATTTTGAAACGAGTAAAAAATCTAAAACTTTTCTTTGGGAAATTAGTTGAGATGAGCTCTTATAATTGCATAACCCTTCAGTGTTTTGTGTTAAGCCCCATTTTTCACGTATTACTTGCAAGATCCGGTTTTGTTCAAAATAGGAGCGAGCATACCACTTTTAAAACAGGAATTGCCATGAGACATCTACCTAGTCTAGCTTTTCTTTAATGTCTTCCAGAAGGGGTAGTACAAGCTGCTTTAAGGAAAAATTAAGGAAAACTTAACTGTTAACAGAAAGAAAATAAATGTGAACAACAATCTCAACTATTCCAATTACCTGAAGTTTGTATTTTGCACAGAAGCATAAACTCGTTTGTCAGTTAGAAAGCTCTTTGTTTTTTATGTATTTTGAAAAATGAAAACTCCAACTATTCTTGGCATCTTTTATTCAGTCTTTTTATTTACCCCCAACTTCTCAAACATCATCTGAATTTGTCTAGAAATACACTTCATTCACATTCTTCAAGATTGTCAGTATGTCCAAACATCTTCACTTGCTATGTTTTTCCTTCTGGATCCCAGCTTTCTAATAATGCACTGTATGTAATTTATACCAAATCTCTTAGTCCATAGATTCACACAGTAGTGTGTATGAAAAGGAATTGTAACGTAACATCTAGTTGATGTTCCGGCTTTTTTATTTCTTTGATCTGCAAGTGTGTACCTTTTCCATATTCTGACTTTCTGGTTGAGGATTTCACTTCAGGGCTCCTAAACATGGGCATGTGAACTGAAACAAAGAAGAGGAAGTTTAATCAGAAAACAATTTGATTTCCTTTGATTATGGTTACTTTTTTGAGTGGTGCTCTAGCCAGAGAATAAGTGGCACTAGATTTCTTTGTGGAACATTCCAATTTATTTTGTTGCACCATTTTTTTGTTTTTTTTTTTTTGTCCTAAATGTATGTAAAGCCTTACATCTCTCTTACTGAATTTGCTGAGCAGCAGAAAGTTTTGTGTCCTTCTCACAAAAAAAAAAACAAAAAAAAAAAACAAAACAAAAAACGAAGAACAAGCAGCTTATACAATGATGGGAACACCTATATTAAATAAATGTGAGTAGCAGGTTACTAAGTCATGAGTGTGTTGGAGACAAGGTATGAAAGAGTGCATTACTAATGCTCCTGATTGATCTGTTACGAAAAGTCTTTACCTTTTCACAATTATGTTTTGGAAAAAATAATGTTGTTTATGTGTACACGCAGAGCATGTAGGCAGGCACAAAATAGAAGATTTAATTTTAGATGTCTTTATTTTTTATACTTCATCTTCCATGTTTTCTGAAAGTCTATGTGTAAGAAAGTAGTAAACAATGAATAGTCATTTTGAACCTGTATATTTCAATCAGTCTTCAGAAGTTACATTTCCTGAAAAAAGAAGGAATCAGAGAGGATTGTAGGTGTCCCCTTCCTGGAGGTAAGGTGTTCAGGGCCAGTCTGGATGTGTCTAATGGGAGGTGTCTTTGCCTGTGGTAGAGGGATTGGAGGGTGATGATCTCGATAGTCTCTTCCAACCCAAACCGTGCTGTATTTTTCACTATAAATTCTTCGGAGGTTTTCAAGACAAATGTCCACTGGGACAACTGTCATTATGTACATCCCCAAAACTAAGCAGACTTTCTTGTGTGAGCGTTAATAAATCTCCATGGAATGCCTTCCTTTTTCTATAAATTGTATTCAAGTTTTAAGCAAAATCCACTGTGGCTCGAAGAGCATTTAAAACTTATTTATAGTAGAAAGATTCAGATAGACAGGCAATCTTAAGTTTTACTCTAGGGAAAACTGCGCAGACAGTCCTCACCTTTCCAGTTATTCAGCCCTAAGTATGGTAGTGATTGTGACATTTTTATGTTTAACAATGTAGTTTTAGTCTTCTGAAAGTTTTAATGTTTTCTCAACAAGGCCAAGTGAATTTGTGAAATATTTATATGACAAAAGTATAAGATGAAACAATATGGCTTGCAAGTTTTTTATATAATTTCCAATAGTTGCTTAGATCGTAAGATCTTCCTATATTTTTTTACATTTCAAGTCTTTGCTTCTCCCATACATAAATGGTGTTATCACTATGTATTTTATTTTACCAATACTATGTGTCAGAGTAAAATGAAGCAGATATAGAAGACCAAGGGCAAGATTTAAATTATCACCAGGAGTACATTTCAGTGACAAGAGGTGTTCAAAGTGCTTCACTTTCCAAGATCATCAGTCTAACTGATACTCAGTTCTTCTACTTCAATGTACAGAGTTCCTTTCAGTGTACCTTTGATCATGAAGAAGCCTAAGAAACTCATTATGGTACTTTTAAAAGTGATGTTTTTTCTATCTCACTACCTTACACCTTACACTCATTATATCCTGCTTAAGAAAAATTGTCTTTTTCTTTTCTTTACTAGGTGGATATCTGTCTTTCCCCTATCTATCGTTTTTTATTTGAACTGAAACAGATAAAGCCTTTAGTATTGTTAAGATACATGTTTATAAATCTGTAGTCATGATAGAGTTCTAGTTCCTACATGAGTTTGTAGGAATCTGCTAAAATGAGGAAGCAAGTCTTATTTTCAGAGTTGTTTTAGATATTAGCAAAACAGTTCTCTTGTCTATCCATCGCTCCATAAACATATTCTTCTTAGCACAGTGGATTTCATTTTGCTAGTTTATCACTTTCTGTATCTCCTAATAAGAGTTGTTGTCATCATTCTTGTTTACGTTCACCTAAAGCCCTGATATTCTTAATCTGAAAAATAGCATATCTTTAAATTTGTCTATGTAAATGTTTCAGTTGTAAAGAATTTCTGAAATAAAAGCATTCCGAAAAAAAAAAAAAAAAAAAAGATTTAAACATAAAAGAGAAGAAGACAGAGAAGTCTTATTTCTGTGACAAAAGAAATATATTTGGTTTTCATCTTGATCATTTCTCATGTTCGTGTCAACTTAAAAATGGTGCTCTGGCCACCTTTTGTCATGAGTCCTAACTTTCATGCTGAACCTAGTAGTCATTGGTTCCAGTTTTCAGTCAAGTGAGCTAAAAATTAAAACTAAATGTAATGGTTTATGTTTTTGGTCTAGTGTCAGAACTTTTTAGTATACAAGTGCCATGTGAAGTAGGGTTGGGTTTTCTATCAATTACTGCTTTTTCAATAGAAGAAAGATCAGGTTGCTTACCAGAAACTATTAATTAATGAGATGCTGTTCAGGATGTGATTCGCAAGCTGTAGTTTTATCCATAAGTTGGATATTTTGTGTAAATTAGATTCAATAAATTTTACTTTTTTTAAATCTTGATGTATGCTATTTCTTCTTAAAATGATCACCAAAGTGAAAACAATATTGAAAGTATGTGAATATATTTCAACATTC